TTGTTGAGACATAAATAATACTTTCTTTTCTTTGTTTTTTTTCTTCTTTCCCTGTCAAAGCAAGTTGCATCTCCCATGATTACTAATATGTTGTTATCTAACTTATCTTAGGAGGATAAAATTTTATTTTGATCATTCAAATTTTAATATTTTATTAATTTTAAGTATAAAATTTGTTGAAAAAGAGAACACTAGTGGAAAAGAAAATGAATGAGGGAAGCTAATTCTTTATTTTTGTGGACTAAGAAAATAATAAGCATCTCTCAAAAAAAAAATCCTATTTCTATTTGTTACCCATTAAAGAATATAAAAAATTTATTTGCTTTTTCTTTCCCTCGAGAAATTGTAGAGATGCTATTAAAAACATATTTAACAAATTCACTAGGTTTGGAATAAATAAGTTTAAAAAAAACCCTAGGTTTGGAATAAAATTGTAAATTATGCGAAAAGTGATAAATGGTCTATTAAAAGGTGTACATCAGACGCTAAAATTTGTGATCTTAATCATAAATATCATAACTAATATGGTGTTTAATTATGAGATTTTGAATTAAATTTTGTTATGAACCAATTTAGTTTTGATTATAACCCAACTTTATGGAAGTTATGAATCATTGTGGCATTTCAATTCTACTATGAACATAGAAGGAAAATGCTTGAGAGTCACAAAAAATTCTTACAATTCTACCCACAATGATATATCATGGTAGGCGTCAATTTTTGATTTGTTAGACATCTAAAAATTGAGAGCCCAATTCCTTACCACATCACCATGGGTGCATTTGTAAGTCAAATATGTGGGTTTTTAACATTACTCGAAAGTAGAAATCGATCAAGACATTCTATTAACTTTTTCTTTTTCTTGTTTTTTTTTGTTCAATCAGTATGAGAATATTTATTTGTAAATATTAAGACATTTATATTATATTTGACAATCAATCGTTTGAGAAAGGTCTAACAAGACAAACTGCAAGCCTAACACAATCATTCGTTACAAAAATGAGCTCATAATATAAGAAGGAAATACAACTAAGCAAAAACTCTATAATAGAGAGTAAATAATTAATCTTAGTAAAAATTGACTCATTGATCTCTCAGTTGACGGTATAGTAGTTAACTGAGCTAACTCAATTGGTTTAGACATTCTAATAAATAAGCATTTGATTGATCATAGAAATTTAATGGTGTCATATGTTGAGATACAATTATTAATTAGTAGTTGTTTCCCTTCCACCATCAAAGCAAGTTTCACGTGATACTATGATTCTATCATCTTCATAAAATAATATTGAGCCAATAATATTAATTAAACAGAACTAGTTATGATGGTGGATAAAAGTGTTATCTACTAAAAAAAATGTAAAAGTATACATAGAATTTGAATGTATAGTATAAATTGTAATGTGGGTAATACGGTTGTGTAAAATACCAATTAATCTGTTGAAATCGCATTGATCCGCACCGATCCATATCGTTCTATCTGCTAATCACGGATTAAACTTTATAATTTATAATCTGCTTTCAAAATCGTTCGGCTCTACTATAGTTAATATATATATATATATATATTAACCTTTAATGAAATATCAAATTAAAAATAAGTGTGAAATAGATTTAAGATGTGAAATTTGTTATAAATTAGTAGTTAATATATATATATATATATATAAAATATTATGTAAAATTAGTTTGTTATAGATATGAAAAATATTATGCAAATAAGTGTTATATATTATGCAAATGCTTAATAATTGGTTAAAAATATTCTTTAATCCTCCAATTCGCCCAAATCAAGATTTGGTTATTTGCTAGTCCACCAATCTGACATTTAATTTATAATTTTGCTCTTAAACCGTTCGAACTGTACCGTGTACACCCCCTAATGGGCAATAACTAAATTAAATATGATCACTATATTTTAATTTAAAACATTCTCTAAGTAAATCGTTTTTTTGGAAGTACTTAGGACACATTCCTTAGTCTCATCAAGTGATTCAAAGATAAGTTAGCACTCCATTTATTTCGGTGAAAAAAATAATGAAAAACGGATGTCCATAAATAATGTTTTTCATAGTCAATAGAAAACAAATTTCTTTGGATGAAATATTTTTTCAGTTTTGAAATGTGAAAAACGTTTAGCATCACCTCCTCCACCCACCCATCACCACCATTAACACTATCACTAATACAATCATTAACGCTACCATTAATACAACCATTAGCACATTAGTTTTAAAATTACAATTAAACAAAAAAAAAAATTAAAAATTTCGTTGAAAATATTTTGTCCAAAGAAACACAAAAAAACAAAAATGTTTTCGCTAAATGAGCATGTAACTATTGATATCTTACATGTGTTTGTTGTTGCGCCACCTCAGGTAGCCCATCACAGCATTTGGATGGAAAGAAAACATGAATGAAAAGAGTCTCATTGAGAATCATTCATCAAAGAGAATAAAGAGTTGGTGTCATAGGAAGATGGCACTGGGTTCTCTTCTTCTACTACTCTTTCTCAAATCAAAGCAAGTGCCATCTCTCCTGCGACATCAGCCCTCACCCCTTTCTCTCTCCTCTTCTTTGTGGATTCCTAAAAAACAAGAAACTCCAATTATATAGACAAAAGGATTTGCTTAATTGCTCCCACTCTTTTTTTCAAATGCTTTTGTTTTCTTTGAGGAATAATATCCTGCCTCTAGTCTGAGAAACACATGAACAAGCTGGTAACAGCAACTTTTTATTATTATTTTTTATTATTATTATTTTAATGATGAGTAATTACCTCTCTGAGATGAGACTCGCACAACGGGCTATTAATGTGGATCATTCAAGGTACGTTAGCATGTCATACTCTTGTTTGAATGGGGGTAGACACTTTGCATCCATATTTGGTGAATAAATTACGGATACGTACAATCATTGATAAATTGTAGTATCAATTATGAAGTGTGAGAGATAGATAGTGTTGAACTCAAAACATTAAATTTTTTTTTTTGATGGGCAAAAAAATAAAATTATAATGCGCTCACTAACTTGTTAGTTGTAACTAAACAAAAAAAAAAAATTTTTGGGGGGGGGGTGTTTGAGGAAAAAATTTGTTTTCTATTAACACCTATTTTTTTTTTTTTTTTTTCAAGCTAGTCAAATGGGTTAAGAATTGTTAACATTAAATGAGTTAATGTGAAAGGTTAACTTGATTGTTAACATTAAGCTGAAAATAAAATAGATAGTCGTATTTTTACTCAGAGTTTCAACTTAGACAAAATATTTTTGGTATTTATTGAATACCTTTGTATTTACTTAAGCTTTTTTTGGCACATTATTCAGTGGTGATTTGCAGAATCATGATGAGTTGTGGTGCACAGAGAATATGAGTAGTGGATTTTGTTTTGGGGTAATGTTCTTATACTTTTAATTTATTTATTATTTTGAGAAGTGCTCTTATTGATTTTAGATTTGGTGCTCACTTATTTCTAAAAGATATATTTTGGTGATTGTTTTGGATATATTTATTTTTTGTGTGTTAGTTTTTTCAATTATTTTTGGTATTGGTATGTATCTAAGAAGCTTTCAATTGCAGTAAGTGTGCTTCAAAATAGAAAATCACTTCCAATTTAATTGCTTTATTTACATTAATGGTAATTTGTATATGAAGCATTATATTTGTGATCCTATATATCTGAATCATTGCTTCAAATTTGCTTAATAGGTTCACATTAGAGAGCTTGAGGAAGAAGTGAAACTTCTTAATCCAAACAGTGCAACAAATATTTGATTTGCATTCTCACTAAAGCATTTTAATGTTTCCTTTTGTTGCTCATCCCTTAAAAAACAATTCAAATATCTTTCTGTGCCTATCTATAAATTTTTCAAAAAATAAGGTATAACTTCCAATTTCTGATTGTAATAATAACATTCTAATGATTTGAGCACATGCAAATTTGTTCAAAATTATATAAGTGATAATCCTTTCCACCATTCATAGAACTTTAAACCCAAATGAAAGTATAATTTTTCAAGGCAATTAAAATCCATTGAGATTTCTATTTCATAATTTGTCATGGTATTGCTTTGCTTTGTTGACAACTATTGTGGACAATCTGAAAGTTGATTTCAATAATTTCTTACTTTCATGATTCTTTGATTTTGAAGACCAACACATAGTTGATTTGTGGTGATTCTATCTCTCTCTCTCTCTCAAGATTTATATTTAATGGGTTCAATAACTTTTTCATGGTGAGCACCCAAACTTAGATTTTTAGATATATTTTTCATGTGAATGGGTTGTTATTTCATGCTTTAATTGGTACATTAATATGGGGATTTTGAGGTTTTTAGTATGTTGTTATTGCATTATTGTATAAAGAGGTTTTCATTTGAACCTTTCTCACCTTTGTTTTTTCCCTCAATATTTAATGTACATTTGTAATATCATTATACATCACCAGTTAAGTCCACATGTGTTTGGATTTTGTTTTAGGCTAAAGATTCATAATGGAATGATTCCCACTCACTCCCATCCCCCATCTCAGTTAAAATTTTGGTTTTGTTTAATTGGTACAAATGTATTCAATTTCCATGGAATTCGAAACTTTACCAATGTAAGCAAGAAGGTAAATTCAATAAACTAAATGTAAATTCAATATCTATAAAATTTTGGTTTATTGAGTTATTGATATTGTTTAATTGGCATGAGTTACTGATATAAAAGGTAAATTCATGAGTTAATTTGTTTTAGATTTATAGAAGTTGAGTCGGAGTTTTTATTTACTAAGATTTCAAATTCATGGCTTCTTTGTGTTAATAATAGATATTTGATTTTTTTTTCCGTAGTTAATTGGTTTTGAATTTAATAACTTAATTATTTGGATTTGTAGTATCATCCTGTTCAATCTTTGATTAATCTCATTAATAAAAGTCTTCTTATTTACATAGAATCCTCTAATTGGTTGTTTTTCCAAAAATAGAAAGTTTGAAACAATTGGAATCTTTTTGGAAATTGGATGCAATTACTAATTCATGATCTGGCATGTACAGAATGAAAACTTCATTCTCGATTCTACGAGAATTTTTATGAAAGCCTTTTGTTACCCAAAAAGCAACCTAAGAGGAGGGGTGAATTAGGTTTCTACAAATTAAAATTAATAATACCTCAATAAAATTAACTACTAGTACAACAAATTATTAACAAGCATAATGATGAACTTAGCAGTAAATGATCAAGCAAAATAATAATGAAGTATAACTCACATACAGGGTAAATCAAATGATTAACATATGAATATTAGATAGCTATAGCATTAGTAGCAAAGTAAAGAGATTAGGGAAGAGGAGACAAACAGATTTATAGTGGTTTGGCTTCAACCAAGCCTACATCCACTCTTCAAGCTTTACTTGAGATTTTCCACCATCTTCTACCTTCACAGGGGTGCTAGCAACCTCATAAACATGGAGCAATCCTCCATAGATTTTACACAGACTTCACAAGCCCAAACCCTTGCAAATCTTAGGTGATTCACAATCACACTCAAGATTTCAAGAACATAGTGTTTGCAACACTTTTACAAGATAAAATGGTATTTTTGCTTTCAAAGAAAGTTTACAATAAATATCTCTCCTAGATGGATATACAAAATGAAGCTCTGGTTTTTCTGTAAATCTCACACTGGAAAGATAGGCTTAAAGCTATACGTCTCAGTGTATAATTTCTGAAAGAGGATGTAAAAAAAAATTGAAGAACAATTTTCAAAGAATTTTTCAGAGAATAGATATGAGTGATTATAGATCAAAGAATATTTTCTGGTTTTTTTTTGTAATTTGTTTACATTAGAGATTTTGGTATATATAATGAAACTTATAACTGTTTATAGTCGTTGTATTCATTTGAATTTATAGCCGTTGTACTCCATCATTACTAATTTGAATATCTTCCACTCCATCATTACTAATTTGAATATCTTCCACTTGAACCCTTTGGCCTGCTGCTGTGCTGGACTGTTTGAACCTTTTGGCCTGCTGCTGTGCTGGGCTGTTTGAACTTTTGTTTTGGACTATTTGAACTCCTGATTTAATCAAATATTAAATACTATTTGAACCTTTGTTTTGGGCTGTTTCAATCTCTGGTTTGGGCATTATTTTTGGGTTGAAATGAACTCTTGATTTAAGCAAATATTAAACACATTTAAACAATATTTAGGATAAAAGTTTAGGTGAGAAATAATGAGATAAAATAAATTTTGATTCTATTTTTCTCTTTCAAACATAATTAAATAAATCATTAAAATAAATTTTGGATTCTATTTAAAACATAATTAAATAAATCATCAAAATAAATTTTGAATTATATTTTTCTTTTTCAAATAAAACATCAAAATAAATTTTTATTCTATTTTTCTCTTCCAAATAAATTAAAAGCATAATTAAATAAATCATCAAAATAAATTTTGGATTCTATAATTAAATAAATCGTAAAAATAAATTTTGGATTCTATTTTCCTTTTTCAAATAAAACATCAAAATAAATTTTGATTCTATTTTTCTCTTCCAAATAAATTAAAAACATAATTAAATAAATCATCAAAATAAATAAGTCTAACAATCTCCCCCTTTTTGATGATGGCACGCAATGATGTTTTGATTTGATTTGGGAGTAAGAAAAACTTCCCCTCAAGTCATGCTCACTGAATTCATTTCTAAATACATAGGTTGGCACATGTGTAATAAATAAGCTTTAGTTAGAGACATGATATGAGATTAAGATATCAAACTATAAATACATAATCATCAGATTAGTTTTCAAATAATATCATAATTTGAAAATAATACCATAATACATAACATCATATAATTTCTCTCCCTGTGACATTATCAATAGAAAATCATGGGTCAGAATCTGGAGGAGGAGAATGAAAATGATAGTGATAAATGGCATCTATACAATTCAAAACAATTATATACATATATATATGATTCGCGCGCCTCTCTCTTTTCCGTCGAAAATCGCGTTGGACACGCGTCCTCGCTTTTGCGTCAGCCGACCAACAAAAGCGAGACGTGTCAATCAACGGTCAATCAACAACTATATATATATATATATATTACATAGCTATACAATATTTATACATATATGTATACACATACAACTCTCTTGCGTCTTTCTCTTTTTTCGCAAAACGCGGTTGCCACGCGGCCTGGCTTTTGCTTTATTGACTGACAAAGGCAGCTCTCCTCAATTGCTGCTCGCCTCGGCTATCTCTCCCTCCTTGTTTTTTTCTCTTCAGCCTCTTCTCTTCAGCCTTCTTCTTAATCACACTCGTCTGCTTTTTCTTCTTCACCTCACTCTTTTCTATCTCTTCTTTATCACTCTCTTCGATCTTCTTCTTCCTCGAGAGACAGAACAAAAAGACTGAACAGAGTAGAAAGGTTGCCAAAAATGGCCCTCCTTTCGATTACATCTCTCACTCCTACTACATGGCCTTATCTCGTCTCCTTACTCTCTTTCCGGACCTGAACGAGCCTGTAAGCGCTGCTGGGCTGAGTGTCTCGGCTCCTACTCTTCCCAACCTTCCTATGATGTCGATTGAGGAAATAATGGTAGCTTAATCAGACATTGAAGCCAATCATTTCACACTGACGTCCTGTATGGAGACGGTGACTGTAGTCACAAAATTGGCTCATCAACTGCAGAATAGGACGAGTGAGCTCCATCAGGTTAACGCCCAACTCTCTCTGCTCTAGAGTATGTACAAGGATGTGCGAGCAGAGATAGGCGTACAGAAGGCCGAAAATAAAGAGCTTAAACGGAAAATCACTTCCATGGCCCGATTTGGAGCAACGTCGTTCTTGGTTTTTGATAGTCGGCGGGGAGTGCTTGCTCCCGGCAAAAGCACAGGGGCAGGGACGTCAAGCGTCACCCAAAGTGATAAAAAGAAGAAGAGAATGGTGGAAGAGACGAGTAAGTAAGATCGACGTTTGGCCATAAAAAAAAATGAAGGGTGTTTTTATTTTATTTTTTTAATGTAAATATTTGTATTTTGATTTATTTTTGTTTTTATGTTTAAGTACTGAAAAATGAAATTAAAAATAGAAAAATAAAATAAAATTAAGTCCAAACAAAAAATAATAATGACAAAAAAAATAAAAATAAAATAAATTAAGCCTAATAGAAAAATAAAAAAATAAAATAAATTAAAATAAAATAATACCAGCAAAAATTAAACTTAATGAGACGTTGGTGTTGCTGGAATAGTAATGTAAAAAAAATACCATGAGAGTTTAAAAAATCAATGTATGCAAAGTTAATTTCATCTCAAGATGCAGAACTAAAAAAAAATTACACAGTTGAGAATAGCAAACTGTTAAGGAGAATAAATGTATAAAGGACTTGAGAGCGTTCAACTGATATAAATGTTTCCATATCAATGTAGCATCATATAGCGATCCCGGGTTTACCCTTGTTGTACAGTGATCCGGACATGTGTCCGTGGATGTTGGGTTTTATCCAGAATTTTATAACCATTTCCAACAGTTCCAAAGGTCAAGAATGAGACACACATGTTGTAGCAAGATAATATGGCAACAATGAATCAATGAGCATATCCATTATGAAGAATTCATGCTATTTCAATCTATTTTCAAGCAAGAGCCAAGGAGATACCAAATTGTTAAAAGTATATGTGAAGCAGCTGAGCATGATCTAACAATCGATTTGAGCATGATCTAATAATCAATTTCTGGCAAGAGCATACAGATTTTATACAAGATAATTAAAAAAAAATAATATGTGAGGTGCAAGCTCATAAGTGTGATATAAAAAATAGAATAGAATAACCAAGTGTTAACTTGGAAAGCTGTAAGCCCGTAGGGCATTTTGTTTTGATGTTAACATGTAATACTTATGTAATGAGACTCTAATGAATAAAGGAATGTGGTTAGTTTATATGTAAATGCATGTCTTATCAGATGGGTTTAATGTTGTTATTTTGAGGGCGTTACACATCAAGTTTAGATAAATGCCATGGGTGCAATAAGGAGAAGTTTCAAAGGTAAAAAATGAGACACACATGTTGTAGCAAGATAATATGGCAACAATGAATCAATGAGCATATCCATTATGAAAAATTCATGCTATTTCAATCTATTTTCAAGCAAGAGCCAAGGAGATACCAAATTGTTAAAAGTATATGTGAAACAGCTGAGCATGATCTAACAATCGATTTGAGCATGATCTAATAATCAATTTCTGGCAAGAGCATACAGATTTTATACAAGATAATTAAAAAAAAATAATATGTGAGGTGCAAGCTCATAAGTGTGATATAAAAAATAGAATAGAATCTAAGGGGAATTTTTTTTTTTTTAAAAAAACTAATCAAGTTTAAATTCTTCCCCTTGTTTCATTTGGCAAAATCAATAGGAGATATGAACAATGAAAGCTCATAACTAAAATGTTCTCCTCAATAATATCAAATAGGATGCCAAATGTTACCAATAAGGATGCCAAAATGATACCAACATGCAATCTACCAAGGATACCAATATGCAATCTAGAAGATTTAACAATCATAGCTCAAGCATTATATAGAATACCAAATATTGCTCAAAAGAGGTTAAACTCAATATAATCTCATGGAGCTAATGAAAATCTTAAAAATAAAGCATGTTCAAGGTATAGCAATCTATATGCCAAGAAAAATCATGAATTTCAATATATAGCACACATTTTAAGCATAGGCATGATTTTTAGGTAAGAGCATCATCAAAGAGTATACATTGCAAATCATATGAAGCATAATCAATCTTTTTCATATCAAAGTAATAACAGTATTAGCTCAAAGGATATAAGATAGAATTTTTATCTCAAAAGTTTAAGAGAGTATATGAGGCATACGTTAGGTTCAAGAAATGGAAGCTTTTCAATCTTCAATTTTCTTTCATGAGGAGTTCATCTCAAAAGGGTTTAACAAGTATGTTAGCAAAATGATTTCTCCCCCTAAGTTGGTGCTACCCTTTTCTAATGTGATTTGTGTAAATATAGTATTCATAGAACAATCACTATTACTCAATAAAAATACAACACAAATCACTTCTTATCATAAACTCAAAAAATGAAAAATAATTCAATAATCAAACAAGAGTTTGGAATGCTATTTTTCAGAATTTTTAAGTTGTAGCACATAGCATAATATGCATAAGAAAATAGTGTTATGCTTTTTGTTTTATTAAAAAATGATGCAACAATCTTATTTAATCACATAACATTATCAAGAGGCATTTTCATCAATTCAATGCACATACTCAAGTGTGATAAAATATTTTACTCAATGTGAAACACAACATGAATGTTATAAACAATTAATTCAACAATTTATCAATCAAAAGCATTTCATGAGATGTATGCCAATATAATCCACATTCAAAAGATATTCAATAGGATAGATGTAATGTCTCTACAAACATATGATACTTCTTTTCATTTAGACATTGTTGATTGATCATAATCAACGAATTTCATAACTCATTCAAATATTCCAATGTAAAGCATATAAGCATGAAATTTTCATATTGAGCATATTCTTGAGATCATAAATGTACAATTCAAAATATAGATAGTATACATCTCAAAACATGCTATGACATCAAAATTGATTCTACAAAGATATGACTCAAAAAGGAATTAACATATTAGTATGAAGACATATATAAGATGTGAAAAGTATGCTCACAAAAAATGTTTATCACTTCATATCTCTTTTTCATAGCAATGGATGACATGATATACAATGTTAATAAATATATGAATCATTCATATTCTAATAGGCATTCATCAAAATAATATAATTCTCATTTTTGAGTTCAATGAAGGTTTGAAAGAAACTAGCAGAACATGACTTAGCAAACTTAGTACAATTAGGTTACATGGAAGCAATGATTGACACAACCTATTGTACACATGATATAAAATGTTAATGAATACATGAATCATTCATATTCTAATAGGCATTCATCAAAATAATATAATTCTCATTTTTGAGTTCAATGAAGGTTTGAAAGAAACTAGCAGAACATGACTTAGCAAACTTAGTACAATTAGGTTACATGGAAGCAATGATTAGCCACAACCTATTGTACACAAATCACACATTAAAGAATATAGAACTTTAAGCTTAAAGGTGTGTTAGGAGTTATACCTTCATTTACCTCTTTGGAATCTTCACCCATACATTACCTCTATTGTTCATCTTGGTGATTTTCATTTCATCATTCTTCCTCTTCTTCTTCTTGTAGGGGCTGGTTTTGCTCTTTAGATTGAACACTCTTGTTGTGCATTTCCTCTCGAAGTCCTTTGTATTCTTTGAGATTCCACCTACAAAATATCTTGATTTCTTTCTTGGTACCTATACTTTCTTGGGTCCATAGGGATTAGTCTCAAGAATATTTAATCTCATAAAAGGTTTAAGAGGATAAAAACCAATGCCTACTTTGTCAAAAACACATTTTTTATTTCCAAGAAGCTTGTTGAGGTTTTCTTTTCCTTTTACAAAATTTTCAAGAGTTTTGTTTAAATCCTCAACATTGTTTTTCAAAATGTTTTTCTCATTGGCAATAGACGTAAAGTCATTTTTCAAAGTAGCATTTTCCATTTTTAAAACATCCCCATCATTTGAAAGAGAAGTAACTAATTTCTTTAATTTAGAATTCTCAACACAAACATTTCTAAATATGTCATGTAATTCATTGAAAGCACTTTCAAGTTCTACATAATTAGAAATTACCTCATCTTGACTGAATTCTTCTTTTCCAAGAGCCATGAGACACAGGTTGGCTACCCCATCATTTTCTCTGCAAAATGGCTTCCTTTTTGCTGCCATTCATCATTGAAAGTTCATGAGCCATGAGTGAGCCTAGGAGTTCTTTAATGCCTAATTTTGTTAGGTCTTTTGCTTCTTGGATAGCTATAACCTTAGCTTCCCATTCATTTGGCAAAGACCTAAGTATTTTTTTCACAAACTTACCATTAGTATAAGATTTACCAAGACATTTTAGAGCATTAATAATATTGGTAAATTTATAAAGCATCTCAGAAATAGATTCAAATGATTCCGTAGTAAAGAGTTCATAATCATGAATAAGCATGTCAATTCGAGACTTTTTTTTTTTGGCTAGTTCCTTCATGGGTGATTACAAGTTTGTCCCAAATCTCTTTAGCAGTAATACATCCAGAAATTCTATTGTACTCATTTGCATCTAGTCCACACACAAGAATAAGCTTGGCTTTAGCATTAGCTTGAAGGAGTTTATAATCACGCTTATCAAATTCATCCTCAAGTTTAGGCACATTGATATGGTCTACTATCTTGAAAGGAGTTTTAGGACCTTTAGTGATAATGAGCCACAAAGCATAATTGGTAGCTTGAAGATACAAAGTCATTTTTTCTTTCCAATGAATGTAATTACTACCATCAAAGAGAGGTGGCCTATTGCTAGCTTGTCCTACAGCAGAG